TGTATTGCACAACTCAAAGGAGGCCATATCAAAGGTGACAAGACGAAGCATATTTCTATAAAATTCTATCATATACATGAGTTTCATAAGAATGACGACATTAATATCCAACAAATTCTCTCAAGTGGCAATATGATCGATTTATTCACAAAAACAATGCCAACATCTACGCTCAAGAAATTAGTTCATGATATTGGAATGCGTCGACTCAAACATCTTTAGTGATCAGGGGGAGTAGCTGTACTCTTTTTCATTTGCTTAGGTTTTGTCCCATTGGATTTTCCTAACAAGGTATTAATGAGGCAACATTTATTTTTAGTACTCCAAAATAACTTTACTCTTTTTGCTTCATTTTTATTTTTTTCCCATTGAATTTTTATCAAACAAGGATTTAATAGGGTAGATATTTTATAATGTGTCATTCAAGGGGGAGTATTGTAAAATGTAAGTTTATTAAGGTTTAGAGGTGAATGGCAATTATATCCCTGCAGTCCTAAAAATTATTACTGTTGTATCCCCGATTCTACCCTATAAATACTGGGTTTTGGTTCTTACTAAAACATACACAAGTCTATTGAATTCTCTCTATTCTCCTCTTTTTTCCACTAATATATATATATATATAGGCCCAGTGCAAAGAGAGTAAAAGTATAGTAATAAATTTTTTTAATTGAATTGAGTAAAATTAAAGCAACAAGATTGAAATTTGAATAAAACAAGTTTAAAAACTCTAGTATACAAGGTTTCTAAACTTTCTTGAAGATGTTTTTCTAAAAAAAAAAACACACTTCGATTCTTGAGACTTCTTCTCCTTTTATACTTGAAACATCAAAATTCAAGATATCTTAAACTTGATTGAGAAATCTTGAAGGACAATAATCACAATAATTTATGTCCTAGTAACGGTCTTTTGCCTGCCATTTACTTCTGAAATCTTTGTCATCTTTTGAATAAGGAATCTACTTTAATAAAATGATTTTGACCATCGGTAGTGTAGGCAGTGTTGGTAAGTTATAACTTTTGATGTGGTAAACACAATTGAAATAGCAAATTTCTTAAATTATGAACTCGATATTTTCTATAATCATCCAGGTAACTAGATCCAAGGGGGGAGAACCTGCCCTGCCTCATTGCTATCCCTAAGATGCATTTGACATTGGTTATGGTGAGGATACTAAAACAAATTCCCAAGTCATCGAATCAAGAATAGTTGATTAGATTTCATAGTGGAGTGTGGACTGGCCCTCACAAGAAATTACTCAACTATCAAAAAGGAAATTTATCTATTGTTTACGTTTTTTGCTGCTAATGGAAGATTACATTCAAAATTCTTTTGAATCTTCCTCTACTTCTCAAAAAATCACTCTAGCTTCTAAAAATCTTTTTCAAAATACCCCTCATAGCAAAAGAGTTTAGGAAGAAACAAAACAAACAAACTTCAAAAATGCTGTTCTAGCAGGATCTGGAAAACTATCAGACGTCAACCCTAAAAAATCCTTCCATTATTTCACTAAATCAATTCAATATTATGTCTTTGAAATGGAAGCTTCATGGATCCATGATATTCATCTCTTGATGAATGTCTTCAAGACATTTTCCCTCCTCAATTCCATTTCATACCTAGAAATATCAAAAAATTTCGAGCTCATTATGAAGCTATCCTTAGTAATTTATGATTTGCATAACTCATACCCAAAATTCTCAAAATCTAGAAAAAAACTAATTTTTCAAAAATTTGTATTCAAAAGATTTTATCTTATGAAAACTGGGAACAACACTCATGGAAAGAGAAGTGAATGCAATTATCAAAAGATAATATATTCAAATATCGTTTCAATTATCTTGATTATAAGGACACTTGGTTCAATGTTTTTTATTTTAGGCCAATAACCCATTCTTGGTTTATTCTTTTCAATCAGACTTGTTCTACAAATTTTCTAAAATGGTTTCAAACTAAGTTTGATTACTTTGGTCTTGACGAAATGATTTTACCCAGTGTTACTTGTCAAGGATTCGAACACTTCAAAAATGAGGCAAAAACAATTTAAAGTCTCAAGAAAATCTTTTATTCCATTTTGGATTAAATCTCAAAGTTTCATGGATTTTTTTGTTGGGATTTCCATATTATTCAAAATACAAAATCTGTACTTAATGTCAAAAGGATTGTTAGGAGATTCAAGATCAAGTGGTGGTCAAAATTTTATGAAATAAATTGCTGTCCCAATGCTATCAGCTCATGGATTTAAGAACAGAAAATATTGGCATTCCAAGAATTTTTAAAAAGGATAAAGAAAAACCTGCAGAGTTTCTCACAGAGAAATCAAGACTGTTGGCAATGTTAAACCAACGTAAAACTCTAGAAGAATTGACAAATAATTTTGAGAAAGTTGATAATTTAGTAGAAGCCTCATCAAAGAAATCAAAATTTTAGAAACGGTTTTTGAGAAAGTTGACCATTTATAAGTAATTTTTTAGAAAGTTGACCATTTATAAGTAATTTTTAAATTCTGCCAAACAATTTTGCTTATAATTTTAGAAATAGAAATAATATGTACATTTTAATATTTGTTCAATACTTGAAAACTTAATAATGAAATTATTCTCAATCATGTTTTCATCCATAAAAATATATGTCATTATTAAGGGAGGTGTATTCAACTTAGACTTTTTATGACATTTTGAGATTTAAAAAGTTTAGGGGTATTCAATTGAAATTTTTTGAGACTCTCTAAAAGTCACGATATATTCAATTGAGAATTTTATAGACTTTTAAAAAGTCTCTAAAAATAATGATGTATTCAATTAAAATTTTTTAAAAGTTTCTATAAGTCTTGGAGTATTCAAATTTTAATGACTTCTAGAGATTATTATAAAAGTCTCTGAAGTATTAATTTTTAAGCATAAAGTTCTCATATAAAATTTTAAAATTTGTCTATTATTAATTACGAGATTTTGGGAGACTTTCACAAAAAATAAAAAATAAAAATAAAAAAAATCAAATTTATTTTTTAATTGATTATATTTCGTTTATCTTTCTCTCTCTCTTATTATTTATCTCTATTTTCTATGAAAAATTAAATTGAATTCTTGTAACTTTTTTTTTTCTTTTTTCATTCATTTTTTTGTGAAAAATATCTATTTTTAATTAAATTATAAAAGTTTATATGAAAAATTATAATTAAATTTAAATATATTGATTTTTATTTATTTTTAAAAGTTACTATTCTAAAATAATATTGAATCATATATAATTTTGATTATTATTTATTTAATTAAGGTCTCAAATTTTTTTTTTTTTATTATATGGGAAGAAGAAGGAGAATTGTGGGAACTAACATCCTATAAGTGAGAATTTCACATTAGATCTATGCGAATTCCACAAAAGTCTATATAAAAGTTTTAAAATGAAAATGCATGGAAGTCTACGAAAGACTTCCATTAATTCTATACAAATCTATAAAAGATCCACAAAATTCAAAAAACTCATAACTTAAAAAAAAAAGTCCATCAAAGTCTTCAAAAATTCCAATTGAATATACCCCTAAGTTTAAAATCTTGTTAAGTTGTAAGAGTGGAGCCTTACTAACCAAATGACCTAAGTTGGAGCCTCCTTTTCTATGGAAGAGTGAAACCTTTTGATCCCGTTTGACTAAATCCAAAAAACTAAAAGGTCATCATTGTCATAGAACAATGATCAATCAATGTTTCAAACGGAGAACTGGGAAAATATGGATTTATTTGTATTCTTAGAAATGGAAAATAATATTTACATTGTGATATTTGTTCAATACTTATGAACTCAACAGTGAGATATTGAAAAATGAACGTTGTTTTTAAGGTCAACGGTTAGTTCAAACGGCAAGAGTTAATCTTATTAGACAAGTAATCTAATTCGAGTGTTCCTTTGATCCCATTTGACTTAAAAAGAAGGGTTATTGTCATGTGCAATGATCAATCGATGTTTCAGAAACCATGGGGCATTTCTGAGTGAGTTCATTGCGGGGCGTATTCTTTTATCGTACGTGGTGTGGAGGAGATAGAAGATGATGATTGGAGTTGTTTGAGTTTTGGACTAATTCGACAGTGTTTTGATCTGGTAAACAAATGCTTGATTTGCTTGTTGAGAACTCAAATTGCCCAACAATTCAACCAATTCCTCTACAACGGTGGGCTTGAAGGTTTAGTTGAAATTTGAAAATTTTGCAGGGTGACCCGTGGCGAATCTAGAATTTTGAGCGAGCACGAGTGGACGTTGACAGTTGGTTGTAATAAAATATTAAAAATTAAATACAATAATTATTTTGCTAAAAATTGAACATAAATTCGTTAGATATTGCAACAACATTCACCATGTGGCATGGTGGCAAGGTTTCCATAATCCAAAGGAAGGAGCATGTGTTCGATTCTTATAAATTGCATTAAAAAAACTAAAACAAAATATATATTATTCTGCTACATTTGGCATCAAAATTCATCAAGTGTCATGATGGTTGAGCTCTCAATAACCTTGGTGAGAAGTTGCAAGTTCGAATCCCTCTTCCCAATCGTATCAGTTTTGGTAAAAATTGAAAAACAAGAAAAATTGCACAGAAAAAAGTTATAAGGTAGAGATTCGACCCTTGGACGTCCAGTTTATAAGCATACGCTCATACCAACTGAACAACAAGGGGAGTTTGAAAATAAACTGAAATATTAGCTATATAACCTAACTCTTTTCTCTCCTGTCAAAAATAAAAAAAATTGATTTTCGGCGGATCCAACACGCATGGCCACGGGTGCTGGATCCGCCAGTGAGGGTGACTGTTGGTTATAGAGGGGAAGGAGGAAATATGAATCATGGAATGAGGACCCATTTGCTACTAAGTCAATATGTTGGGGAGTAATGATGCAATATTTGTTTTAAGTTATTAATAATTTGGCTCCAAATAAACCTGGGAAATATGAAAAATTATTTCATGGCGCCATTTCCCAGTCTTATCAAATACCAAAGCAAGGTGCGGGGGAGAATAGAGAGACAGAGAGATGTCAAAACAGTCACAACGAGATTCTCAGGTCCAAAATTTTACACACTGTTTCGATTCTCACTTTCTTTTAATTGATTTCAAGTTCCGTTAGAAGCTAAATCTTCTATTTGTTTGCAGGTTTTAGATTCTTCGCTTCCTTCTGGTTCGTGCAATATTTCTTATTCTGAAGAGCTCGTTACATTCAATCATTTTCCCAAAAAAACGATCAATTTGATTTAGATTTTTCATCAACCTATAGTTTTAACTTCATTTTTCTGTTAACAGAGCCACCTGATATTGGAAACTGGTTCTCAAGTTATGTTTACGAGTCTCCAGAATTGAAAAATCGTGATGATTTTGAAGATTATGAAGTTCCTGGATCCAGAATAAATTATACTGCAAATGGAAAGGAAGGTAAATTGACTGGCAATGTCATGGTGGGAAAATGTATTAATTCTGGAGATAAGGGATCTTCTTATGCTTCACTAAATGTGATGGATCAGAAGATTCTGAATCAGAGGTAATTTGATCTTAACTTCATATGGGCTGCATTAAATTATGAAAACTGTGGGATTTTCGGCTTGCGAAGCATAATAGAATTCAAGCTTTGAGGGGGCAAAAAAGAAAAATACATATAACCTCTTACCCAATTAGTCAAATAGTGATTTTTATCAATTTTTCAGTTTAAATTCAAGAATCACTCGTCTAGACACATAGATGATTTTTGACAAATTTGCTTACTAGTATTATTAGAAGCTAAATCTCATCTTTTATTATAATTTTCTTCCTCTTTTTATTTGAAGGTTTTACATTCTCTAGGCCCGGCTTCCCTTCCTTCTGGTTCGTACAATTTCTGATCTGAGCTCTTTATATTCCATGTATTCATTCTAATGCAGTTTACGGTTAATTTTTCTTTATTTTCCTCTTCATAGAGCCTCCTGGTATTCAAAATTGGTACTCCAGTTATGTATATGGATCTCTGGAATTGAATACTTTGAATGTTTTCCAAGACTGACGGATTCAAAGTAGATGATTCTGCAAATAAAAAAGACAACAACTTGGGTGAAAATGGAACGGATGGTAAACGTAATCCTACTTTTATTGCCGGAGAGAAGGGATCTTCATATGCTTTTGCTAAGAGAAATGACCCCATCGGATTTGCGGATTTTAAGTCTGCGGCAGAGGTAATTGAAATGACTTCTTTTCCCTTTTTTTTCATTAATGTGCTATGATGGAATGAAAAGAAAATTTCCTTCATTTAGTTTCCTTGTTAGAGTGGATTATGTGTATAAAGCTAAAGTAATCAGCAATTTATGCCAGTGGCATAACGACTAATGATTATTGCTGATTTTCATTCTAATCTGATTCGTAAAGCTTCAATATCGCCATTCAATTTAAAGAGCGCTTGAGAGATCATACTAAAATTTTTAGTGCAACACCGACCAAAGTCTATAAATGAGAAAGGAGAGGGCCTACTCCAGATGATACCATCATTGATTGACGACAACATTAGAGTTCGTTATCAGAGGAAAAATTACTCTACTAAGTTACATGCCTTTCTTGTTTTCTCTATAAGAATTCTCTTTCACCTTGTATCATAATAGAATTCACGAAGACATTCACGCTTACAGAATAATGTCCTCATTCCATCAACTAGGGAGGACAAAATGAGTTGTGCTAGATGGACAGGGCAATGTCGGTCCTGGCCCTGCCTGTCTAGAATTATTCGGACAAAATAGTTCCGCAACTATTCAAAGATCATTGTTTCAGTTCATGGTATTATTATTTTGGAAATGGAAGAGTGAAAATTTTGGGAATGACAACTAAGTCATTGTTTTTAATAAAATTTCTGACCTTTTAGCAATATTAGAGCATCTTCGAAAGCTTCTCTTTAGCCTCATTCTCTTTATTTTAGAGAGTGGTCACTTTTGTTGGGAGTCTAACAAACTCTCTCTATGTAAAATATAAAATAGAGTGGATTTGGCTTTCACTATTAAATACTTTTAGTTCTTTCATTTATTATTTCACAACTTTTCATGCATCTCTTTCAAAATCGGGAGAAATGATACCATAAAAAGGAGGAAAGTTAGCTAAAAAAAATTAAAAAAAGGAGGGACAAGGTCAAACCATAGTTGCTTATGGAAAAATTAAAATGAAGAGTAAATATAAAATGGTGTTAGACTGTGTAAAAAGTTCCACTCTTTATTTTTAAATATTCATTAATATGCTCTTCATGTTGAAAAAGATGCTCTTTAATAGGTTTTATCATTCATAAGACCAATAAAAATCCAATAGTAAAACAAGAGGGATGGAGGCAAAAGTTACTTAGAGGAAGATTGGAAATTTCTAAACAAAAATAAGTTCAAGTCTTTGGATACTAAGATTAAGACAACAACAATGATTTTATAGGAAGAGTAAGCCTTCACATTAGTGTCCAACTTAACATTCTAGACTCTGGGAAGGGTGAAGGCAAATAAGCCGAGGAAAGCAGTGCCATGAATTTGATGTAAGTATCTAAGAAGAAACTAAAACGAAAGTATATTCTAGATAAATATTATGAAAGTTGGGTAGGTAGTAACTATGGGATTCACCTCAAGGAGTTGATTAATATAATATCTAGTCCCTTGCAATATTACACTGTTTCATTGGCAAGAATTGTTGCCAATATTCACATGTTGCTCTGAATTGAATGTTTTCCTTAATTTTGTAGAGCATGGGTAAGGGTATTTGTTTAACAATGAGATATTTTTTATCCCTAATTTTATCTCTAACTATAATTTTTGTTTGTAGATCATGGAATCTTCAGATACACAACCATTTTCTTTAGGTATGCTATCCTTTTCTTCACATTTACCATTTTTTGAAGTACCCAACATGGCAAAAAGAAACCAGGAAATATGAAAACAAGAATTTGAAATCTTGTGCATGGATCAAGGATTTGATTTGAAATGGCCCTCTGAGGTTCCAATTTGATTTATTTTTATTTTTATTATTATTATTATTTTTCACTATTTTGACCAACTGAAAATAACATAGATTGGCATCATTGAGAATGCTTATGTGTCCCTTTATTGGTTCACGCAGAGCCTCTGGGCATTAAGAATTGGTTCTCGAGCTATGTGTATGAATCCCCACTGAGTAATTATGCTAGTTTTACTGTTTCTGATTTTAAAGAAAGGGAAGTTAAAGGAAAGGTATATGTGGCTGAAATAGACAACAGCAAATTGGAAGATAAATCTAGGGATTTCACTGAAGTTGGAAACTCAAGTGATTTGTTAAATCAGAGACGAATATCTGCTGTAATTGTTAGATGCAACAGCTTGGTTAAAGAGGGAGAGCATGACCAGCAACCTATCAGTGAGGTATTCTTTGTCCTTTCTCTTTATGCAAACTCGGTTCTCTTCTTTGCTAAGTGACAATAAGCAGTTGATTGTTCAAGTAATTATGAAGTTCTACAGTAAATTTCAAATTTCAAATTTCAAATTATGTAGGCTAATATTTACTCTGTTTTCAAAACTAAAACTGCGGTCTTCCAAAACGTAAATATTTTTACTTGGTCTGCCTTCCAAAACACGAGCAGTGAACCTGCAGTTAGATAGTGAATAGGATATTCTGATTCTCTGTTGACATATTTTGTGTACTTAATGGACACTGGATTGTCTCAACCGATGAGTAGGAGATGAGGGTACATTTTGAGTCCGAAAGTATTAGAAGGCTAATATTTATTCTGTTTCCAAAACTAAAACTGCGGTCTTCCAAAACGTAAATATTTTTATTTTGTCTGCCTTCCAAAACACGAGCAGTGAACCTGCAGTTAGATAGTGAATAGGATATTCTGATTCTCTGCTGACATTTTGTGTACTTAATGGACACTGGATTGTCTCAACCGATGAGTAGGAGATGAGGGTACATTTTGAGTCCGAAAGTATTAGACAAGATATAATCAATAGTCTAATCTCCTAAGAATGTCATTTGGTTTTAAAAGATTTAATTCATTGAACATCAGGACAAGCTTTTAGTGACAATGGATTAAGCAGATTCAAACAACTGGCATCTCAGTAATTATTATACACAACCTTGATTTGTAGTTGTAGCTAACTCCAAATTTATTAGGAATAGAATATTGTAATTTTTTAATTGTAATTGGAGCTTCAAATAACTGGCATCTCATTGATTATTCAGCAGTTAGAAAACTATTAACAGCTCTTTCTTGATATAACTTTTGAAAAAAAAAAAAAAACCGACTTAATTGCTCAAGATGTTTTGGTTTTACTGTTTATTGCGCCTATCACATATACCAGTATATTTACTTCACCAACCACTATTTCCAAGGAACGAAGCAAATAATTGTATGTAACTTGCAGGATAGCTGCGAAGCTGCTGGGATGCAAAGCTTATCTGTACTGAATGACTTGACTTCTGGAAGGATACCTCAAGAAATCTCGCCACCAAAGAGACAGCAGAATCATGATAAAGGTTTAATGGAAGAAAGTAGAAAATCCAAAGATGATGGAGATTATAGTGGAAAGTCAGATTGCCAAAGTTCGGACACGAAATTAAGTTCTGAAAATCAGGATAGAAAATCTCTGCAGAAGTTGATTGAGAGGAAGGATTACACTGAAATCAGCCCTAAAGAGAAACATATTCAAGTGGACTGTGAAAGTGTGCAACCTAGCACCTTGAGTTTGACTATACTTGAACAAAAATCCATGAAAAAGCTAGCTGAAAGAAGGAATGAAAAAGAAAATATTGAGGGAACTGAGTTAGCAGAAAATGGTTTCATTTCAACGAGAAAGAGCAAAAGCAGAGAAGTGAACAGTGAGAATATTGAAAGGCCACATAGAATCCCACCAAAATCTTTGAGAAATGGGGTAACGATTTCATCGAACCGGAATGAGGATTCTAAGACAACAAGAAAGGTTCTGTGTGAGACTACAAATTTTCAACAGTATGCTAATGCAATAGAAAGTAGAGGAAAATGGCGTTGTCCTCAGAAGAGCAAACCAGAGCTTGGGCCTCCTTTGAAGCAGCTTAGACTAGAGCGATGGATTCGTCCAAGTTAATGCACATTATTTTTGAGGGGGACGACTATTCTGGATGAGAAACTCACTTCCATCAGTCCGAGACTGAGTACAAAGACTAATACCTTTGAATTGATTTTTTGCTTTTATATTTTCCTATCAGTTTGTTCAGGCAATATTTGTTTGGTAGGATTAGATAATGCTCGACAATGTTAAAATCCTGTTCGTTTACTCTCTAATTTTGGTCTAGTATTGCCTATAAAAAAATCATCAAAAAAAAGTTGCGAAGGCGAATGATGACTAAAGCTTCAAGGACAGTCTGCAATTAGTATGCTGCATTTAGCATACAGTACTGTATTAAGGTGGACTAAACTATAGTAGACACTTATAAGGTGGATTGAGGTGTAATGCTATTATATTTTGTTTGGTGTTAGATAAAAAGATTAAGCAAAAATTCTAATTTTTCTTGTTTTAATTTCAAATTTAAATGTAAAAAAAAAAAAAAAGAAAAAAACTTGGGATTTGGTTTTAGGCCAAACAGAAAGAACTAGAAATTTCCACCTCCGGAAAGCACCTACAACTATTGGCTTAGGAGAAGAATGCATACATTTTAACGTGTATGGGTGTATATTGTATTAGAGTTTTATACATTTTAAAAAACACAAACCAAAATTCTTTATGTAGAAAATTTGAACACTATAGTGCGAAGGTTCGAACAATATCTATAGCACCTATGAAAGTTGTTGAATATTTTGTTCCTGTTGAAACTAGAAGTTTCGTGAGTTTTTATCGCCTGTGAGTAACAAGGCAGTTTTAACAGAATTTTTGAACGGTCTTCATGAGAAAGACCAGTTTTCTTTATTTTTAGGTGTCAAGAATGGTGAGTTATGTTGAATTTCTCGACGTGCAAGAGCAATGACAACTTTCTCTATCACCGTATATTTGATGTCCAGAGATGTACTACACGAGTATTTTTGTTGCAACTATGAGAGATGACTTCAAACACAGAGATGACAACAACCATCGGACTCACTCACTCTGCAATTTTGTAAATTTGGTCTAAATAATCACATATAAAGTAAATTTAAGAACTTAAATATATGTGTAAAACACACTTATCAATCTCCAAAACTGAATAATATGTTGAGGTGTGTGCCATAAAATTCAGGGATCATTGACCTAAATTTGAACCTCGTTTGAAAAAATCCATCAAAATTCAACTATTTAAAGGCCGACTCAACTTCTAAAGGTAAAACAAAAATCTGCCAATATAAACTCCTTGGAATTTGAATTTCAGGTGGATCAAATTCCTTATGTGCATATTAGAGACATTCAAGTATTATTTAAAAAGTCATGAACGATGGTTCATTTGAGAACATTAATTTTGAAATTCAATTTTTCGTTTGAATTTCAAGCGAATTTGAAATAATTGTTTGAACTTTCTTTTGGACCATGTAACATATATTAAGCACTCCAGCTGCATCTTAAAAAGTCAATCATGTTAAAAAATATATGTAATCCAAGCCCTTGCATGATATACACGGTATACCTCGATTGACCATACGAGGAAAATCAACACAAAAAGTACATATCTCCTTTTCTTGAGAAAGGAAAAGAATATGATAATGATTGAAGGAAAGAAAATAATGACGAGATATAAATAACAAGAATTATGCTAAGTGTGCATTCCATGGGTCACATCTGTTAGGAATCTACTTATACATGTACAGCGAAAAATTAAAATTATTTCGATTCCCACCGAGAATCCCTTTGTGTTTAGATAGAAATCGTGATAAAGATTGTACCTTTGAAAAATTCTGCAAACCTTTTGCTTTTCTTTTCATTCCAACAATCTTGATTCCCCACCTACAGCTGTCCAATTGTCCAGCTTCCAACGGTGATCCACACAGAGAACAAGATTGTAGCTACCAGGATTTTCTTTTATTGTGCTAGCAAGAATAATTATGAGAAAAATCATATGGATTGAAAACCCTAGCCACGTATTTATATAAGCTTAAACGGGCCTAACCCGGTCTGGTCCAATATTTAATTAAATCCGGTCCGTGAATTAATTAATCCAATTAATTAATTTGAGCCTATAAATAACCAACCCAATAAATTAATTTATCCAACGATTGTTAAATTAATTAATTGACAAATTGCAAACTTTCAATTCTCTTTTGTGTGTGACCCATTAGGTTCCCGATCATGATGCATAACGACGTGAAGTATTATTTTGATATAATCAAAATTGATAAATTAAAACACCCTTTTAATTTATCGTCAATTCACACTCGCCGTCCCAAATTGATATCTAGCAATGTGTCAGGGCAATACATGTGACGGGAAATGTCATGTAGTATGAGAAAACCAAATTCGTTCGTTTACCGTGAAACTATAATCCCTTCGTCAATATGATCCGATCAATTACGAGATATGGAAGTGTGTCAATCTCGATTATCGATCATATCTTTCACTCCACTATTAAGTCAATATAAGTCGAAAACTTCTTTTCGACTTATGAGTACACCTTAGCCAAGGATTTCATCATCGACTTAAGATCATAATCTCCTACTATCTAAGAGTGACGAATCCTTTATTGATCAATCACAACCTTCATATGATTTTCACAATCACAACTCCTTGTGATTAACAAATTACGACGATTTGAATCTACGGACTCTATTATTTATTTAATTGTCTATTAATTAAATAATAGATCTGTTATTAAATTACATTAATTATATATCAAAAGTATTTATGTCCAAAGTTGATTGGACATAGGGCATAATACTTACAAACTCCCACTTGCACTAGATCCAATCACTTATGTATCCAATATCATAAGTCTACATGACGATCATGTTTATGCTACGACAACTCTTTATCAGTGGATCTGCAATATTGTTAAATGTGGAAATTTGTTCTTCTCTTTACATCATTTCTATGTATTATCTATCTGATGAGATTATACCGCCTTAATACATGTTTGGATCATTGATGAGACCTTAGTTCCTTCGCTTTCGCAATGGCTCTATTGTTATCACAATACAATGACATGTGATCAACAATATCAGGAACTACTCCAAGTTCATTTATGAATATCATGATCCAGATTTTAACTCTTTGTTACTTCTGAAGTAATCATGTATTAGATTTCTACTATTGAATCAACGATTGCTTCACGTTTGGAACATTTCCAACATGCCGCCTATGAGTAAACCAGTTTCTCCATATGAAATCTTCTCAAGATTTCATCTATGTAAATTAGGATGAGTTAGGCAATTTTCTAGATCTATCTCTATAGATCAAGTTGTTTCTCCCATATCGTTCATGAATGGATCCTTTAACAACCATTATTTCAACGATTGAAACATAGGGATGTCGTTTTCTATAATATTAGGAATACGACAATGCTCCCACTATTTTTTTGTAAACACACAATTCGTCTTCAAATTTGATAAAATCAAACACTTTGATTTTTTCATCAAATCTAAGATTTCAGCTCCAAGAAACTTCTCTTAACCTATAGTCACGGTATGCAACTGTTACAAGCAAAAACCCAAATGGACTTCAGCAAGGCTACAGGAGAAAGGTTTCACCAAGGTCAACACTTAACCTTTGCTTCTAACCTTGTTTTGTATATATGGATATTCTCATCCATATCGACTTTTTCCTTGTAAACTATTTACAAAAACTTATGGGTTTTATTCCATCAGGAAGCTTGACCAAGGTCCAAACCTTGTTCATATACGTCGAGTTCATCTTGAGTTTCATGGCCTCTTGTTGCCTCTTTTAAGTCAACACTTGACTTTATTTTGTTGCAACTAGCAGGTTTATTATCCTGGATCAGTAATACCTGATTAGTAATCATGGATTCGCACTTTCTTGAAAGTCGAATGATCCTACTAGATTCACATAGAGCTGACATGTTCTCAGGAGTCTTTAGGGCGTCCTTACCTATTTGTTTCTCTACTTCTAGTTTGAATCCCTTGAACTTTTCAAGAGTTTCATATTTAAGTTTTCATCAAGTATACATGATCATTGATGAAATAAGAGAAACATTACCTGACATTAATTGACATGAGTCCATATGCATCATTATGCATTAGACTAGTAATTATGCTGACCTTTCTTCTTTTCAAGTAAAAGAAGATTTGGTCATTATGCCAGACATGCATAATTTGTACTTGTCAAAATCAATTAATCTCAAGTATATATCTCTATGTAACTTTGGAATTACTTTTTATCTATATGACAAAGTCTATCATGCCAAATTTCGGTAATAATTAGATTATCGCATTTATGTCTTATAATTTCCACACTCATTATAGAATCCTTAGTATTTAGAATATAAATGTTATTTTGTAACTTATCATAGCCATTAGAATCTTTATCAAGATAAACAAGAACAACAATTGTCCTTAACATTAAAATAGTTCATGTCCGAACATGAAATTCATTTTAATGTTCCAGCTATGGTAGGTATAAAGTGACATTTCACTAATTCCAATACTAAATCAAAAGGCAATGGCAAGAAGTATATTCCTACAGGCAATGCAGCAACCTTTGCTCATCTTCAACGTGTAGGTCAACTTTTCCTTTTTGCAGTGGTCTACTTTTATTTATTTTCTCCATATTTGTATAAATATGAGATTTACATCTGGTATCAAATCCCTAAGAAACTCGTGAAATAGACGTAAGTCACGCAATATTCCTTCCAATGACCTTTCATTATATAATGAAACCAAGGGTTATTAGATTTGGTATTGTCCTTCGTTTTGACGGTCTTAACCATATTGGACGCTTTCACAAAACCCCTTTAGATTTCCTCTAAATATCTTTAGAGGAATCAATGGTTTCCCACTACTAACTTTGATGTTGGGCTTAACAGCCTTAAGCATGTTAAGCAACTCAATAATTCTGCATTCGAGCTTATTCCCGTTAAATTCATAATTAGTTATGAATTTCTTTCTCTGACAGAGATTGCAGAACCAAGTCACTACTTAGTTCATGGTTTATGATTGAACTCAATTGAGACATTTCTCAACGTCAATCATTTTTAGTATCTAATCATCGATTGAAGATTACTCTATCATTTTACACCGGTATAGTTGTTTGGAAGTCTCATATCCTTCCACACATAATTATTATCATACAACTCTTTGTAATGAAGAATTATGTGTTAACATCTATACTCTCAA